ACTCCCGCGGCGATTCTTCACCCCTTTCTCCCTCTATTTTAGGATCGTAATCGCGATCTAAAATAACAGACGATTCACGCGATACGAATCTTAAACCCCCTCGCGAGTGGTCGACGATCTTAAGATCCCGAGAGCTTTTCCTCAAACGCGCGACTGCATCTACCACCGTCCTGGTAACGCGTCTTCGCCTCTGGTGAACGTATCTCAATCTTTAAAAGCGGCGTCCGCGCGAAAGTGCCCGCTGTTTCACGAAGGAGAATAAAGGGAGAGCTGGACAACTTCAATCGGACGACTCTTCCACCTGCATGGCCGTAAACGAGCCATAAAAAAGGGGGACAGGAGAGGGCGGGAATCGACGGGGCGTCGACAAATCACGGTGGCTTTACGACCGCGAGGGATTGTCGAGGTGGTGGTAGAAGATAAAAACATTACACGTCGCGTAAAAGTGTAGGCCATCTATTCTCACTTTTGTCAGGTTGTCGCACTACACATACAGCTTCGCTTCTCGTCGGCGGTCTGGTCTATTTTTCCAAGGCCGTCCAACGCGTGAGGAGAATACACAGCTAATTAGACAAACGATTGGGGGAGGGGGAGGGGTGGAAAAGGAGGGGCGAGAGGGTAGGAGGGGAAGAATCGACGGGGAGATAAGTACAAAAGTTGTGTGAGGCTAATGTCTTTCGCGGGTGGAGAATCTTGGCTGGAAACCTAAACAATAATCGTCGGGCTGCTCGACCATCGATTCGCTGCTTCGCTCGTTGCCTTTCGGCCGCGCGAAAGTTTCGCCGAGGATCGCGAAGCCCCGGTGAAAAATTCATCGGTGAGAAAACGAACGAAAAAGAAAAACTGAGCGGCCGAACGGGGCTGGAACGGCTCTCTCGGTCAATTGATTAGCACGCGGCTACTCGATACCGGCGACCGAGGTTCGCCGGTCGCAAAAACCGGGCAAGCCCACTTTTTCCCACGCGACGAATGAGTCGTCCATTATTTAGCGCTCGTTTTACTAATGGAATATCGATTGACACCGCGAGTCCCCTCCCGGGCGCGCGACCTGGTGAAAAACTTGGTCCGCTTCTTTCGGATTTCCGCCATTCGATCGCCGGAATCGTTTAACTTGGGAGCGAGTCGGATAAAACGTAATATTTTCTGGCTTAATTACCCGGTGATCAAGTATTCGCGTTATCAGTTATTCGATTGACATGATCGTGGCACTTTTGTGTGGGTATTTGCAGGCTTTAGACGCTCCCGCGAACGTCCAATCGTTAATTCGGCAAAAAGTGCGTTCAACTTTGAGCAGCGGCGATTGAGAGTCTTCGCTTCGGATGTTTTTAAATGCGTCAATTTTTGATTTTTATTTACATTATAATGCTTAAGAAAAATTATTCCTAACTTATCGTTAATGGTCCTTAACGATATTTCCGAGAGAAAATAATCTCGATGTATGTTACAATTGGAAGAAACGTAAAACGTTTCTCGCGGCTTACGCTAAATTCATTTACTCGAGGGGAAAGTCATTAGTAAAAGTCAGTTATTTCTCTGTTAATTATCCCCTCGCCGAAACAATATCAAAGTATATATCGAAAAGTGATATATACTGTACGTTCTTGCAAGCTATCTGTACGGCAGAAGCACTTGTCTGATCATTACGGCCGGGTCCGTTGATTCCGTTTAACAGTGCGGCTCGATGAACGCGCCCAGTCCGAGTGAAATGCTTCGCGATACCTTCCGCGCGTTTCCCCGGCATTGCCACGACGACGGAAAAATGTAGACTCGTTCGACGTCGGGCCGGCCGACTGCGATAAAGATATCTCGCGATCCTTTTGATAATTTCCCACCAGCCTCTCGCGCAGTATCGAAAAGAGTGAGCTTGCACGGTCGCTGCGGAACCGAAATTCATCCCCCCCGTGTTTCGTGAGCCAAGAACAGAGAACGAAGATGGGAGAGATTCCTTTATCACAGAATTTTTCCTTGCCTTCGCAACAATTCATCGGACGAGTTCGCGAGTGTTTTTTTTTCCTTTTTGTTTTTTGAAGGACGAATGCGAGGCAGCTCTAATCTCGGATCCCCGCTTTCCGGAGTAGCGAGAGGGAACCAGCGACAATATAATTGACAAGTTTTCCGGCGGGGCACCCTCCCCCCCCCGCTTGGTCGAGTCTACCGCGCGTTACGCAAATTACAATTATATACAAAAAAAAATCACAACGACCCTCGCGGCTCGCGGGAGGGTCGTTTGTCCCGCGACTTCTCTACAAATCTCGTTGACGCTTCCGCGAGGATGCGTATTTCGTTTATCGCATACATACACGCACACGCGGAGGCGCCGCCGTGAACGCTCGTGATTTTTTTTACCATAGACCACGTATACCACTGGTACCGCGCACTCATGGTGAGGGGGCTGTTGCCGACTTGTGGGAAAAGGATAGAGTCCCTTGCAATGCGTGCGACAGAGAAACTCTCTCAGTATCAATCAGCGAATTATCACTGGAAACAGCGAATGGTCACTGATTTCCAGTTATAAGTGTACCACTGATAACTTCAATTAGTAATTGAATTATTTGGATTGTTCGTAACTCTACTCTGGGAAAAATTGCAGTTATTGATTTGCAGCTATAAGTGTACTACTGAAACCTCCAATGGTACTCTGGGAAAAAAGAGACAGTTAGCAGCCCATGTTGGGCCGACAGTTAGTTATCAAATTATTTGGATTGCTCGTAACTCTACTCTGGGACAAATTTTGACCGTTTTTTTGTAATTGAGCAACTTAAGGGGATGCT